CCCCAAAACCCCAAAACCCCAAAACCCCAAAACCCCTATTTTAGGTAATCTTATTGAATGATTAACCATTGAGCATCTTCTGGACATCAGTCACAGATGGAACAACATTGATTGCAGACCCAGTCACAACCATAGTAGGAAGTCCAGCAATCATTTGTGATGCAATGGAGTTGATATCTTTGGATGTAATCTTGTCAATCTCTTCAAGGTAATTGTGGAAAGTCAGTTTCTCGAATGTCATGTAATTCTTTGCCATTTCTTCGAGTCTATCCATATCTCTTTCAAGGCTTTGAAGAATGTTCATTTTCAAAATATTTTTAGCCCTATTCAATTCTTCGTCTGGAATTGGTTCTCTTAATCTGTGGAGTTCTTGCAATCATAAGTACAACAAATCTTGAGAGTTAGAAGCTGGCCCTTCAATCTGCATTCCAAAGAGTCCACTATCAGTGAAAATATTGTTGACTGCTCCTGCTCCATCTACGAAGGCATATCTTTGCATGAGGTTAGTAATTGATCTACAATACATTCCTTTACCTGGGCCTCCAACAGAGAAGGCTTGTGCGGATCCAATCAAAGTATTCATGACAAAGAATGCAGTTGATCTGGGGTCATTCCATGGAACTGATTCATAAGCAACAGTGATGTTAGTAGAAGGAGTCTCACTCCAAGTTCTATAGTCTCCTCCAATGTACTTTGTTGGTTCTCTTTGATATTCACTTTCTGGAAGAGGATAGAACTCTCCAAGTCTTTCTTTACATAAATCAACAAATTCTTGATGATCATGAACATTGTTAGCAGCAATAACACATTTTTCAGGAGTAATGTTTCTCATAACAAAGTTTTGTAATACCCTTGCATCAATATTTTCTAGATTTTTCTTCAGTCCAAGTCTTGGCATTCCAAGCCCTTGTTGACCATAAGCGGTTCTGAGAAGCATTTCTTGATTGTTCATGAATGGATCAAAATGACCAAGATGCTCTGCTAATTCGTGGCTCTTCCTATTTTTGGCCTTGGCAACGTTAGCTGCAAGGACAGATCTTGGCTCAAGAGCAATGTCTACCATCATCTGGAACATATCAATGGTATCATATTCAAGGCATTGACCGGAGAAGTAAATCTTCTCTTGGTCGAAGTCCATTCCCATTGATCCTCCACTCATTTGAATCATTCCATAATTGACAGTCTCATTAGTATGTTTTAGAGTCTTGAGGTAAGTATTGTTCAAAGCAAGGCATGATCCACTGGTCTCTTCAGTCTCATCTCTGGTTCCCACATCTATCAAGAAAGACATATTTACAGGTCCAGGGAAGATAGTACTCTCGGTCACTACTGTAAATCCATTGGCTAGCTTAGTAACATTATACTCCGGTTCCTTATCAGCAACTGAGATTGGATGATGATCCTTCAACTGTACAGCAGGGTCAAAGGTAGCCATCTTATAAGACGGCCTTGACTTATCAAAAGTATTGAGTACTTTATGAAGAATTCCTGGCTCTGTGGAGAAAGACCTGGCAAATCTCTTCCCAAATACCTTATTTGCAATTGAAAACATCTTTAATTTTATAACTTTATTATGATCAATAATTATTACAGAAACAGGGGTTTTGGGGTTTTGGGGTTTTGGGG